TTCTGTGATGGCCCTAAGGGGCTCACTGTCCTGTTCCATCCGCCTGAGACTGTTCACAACGCTACACAACAGAGACCACTCGATAAAAGTTAGGGGAGGGGAGGAACATCTCCTAGCACCTGTTGTCTTCCAGGCATGCTGTTAGTGCCTTCCTTATGTTAGTTATTCCAAATAATTTGGTTTTGTTGTTGTTGTTGTTGTTGTTTTTTTGAGACAGAGTCTCATTTTGTCACCCTTAGTAGAGTGTCGTGGTATCACAGCTCATAGCAACTTCTAACTCTTGGGCTCAAGCGATCCTCTTGCCTCAGCCCCCCCACCCCGCCCCCGCCACCAAGTAGCTGGGACTATAGGCGCCCACCACAACACCCAGCTATTTCTGGAGACAAGGTCTTGCTCTGGCTCAGGCTGGTCTTGAATTCCTGACCTCAAGTAATCCACCCTCCTCAGCCTCCTAGAGTGATAGGATTACAGGCATGAGCCACTGAGCTTGGCCCAAATAATTTTCACTACATGCTTTTCCAAGAGTATTTCCTAACTTCACAGATGTGGAAACTGAGGCCCAGAGATATTAAGTGATGAGTCCAAGTAACACAACAGGCAAACGGTAGAACAGGACTCAAACTTGAATCTGAGCGCCTCGAAAGCCCCGGTGCTACCCCACCTGCTCCAAATTCCACCACTGCATCAGCGTCTCCACTCTGTCCCATGTGCCCCTGACTCATCAGGCAGCTACAGAGTCTAGTGGACCCCGGGAAGCCTCTCAGATCTGCCCTAATGGGCTCCGAGCCGGTACCTTGTCTGTGACGAGGGGCAGCCGCATGCTCTCCAGCTGGCCTCCGGGCTGGCTGAAGACAAAGTGGTGCTCCTTGGACTTGGGGATGATGAAGTGCAGCTGGACCTCCTCTCCTAGCATGGAGTAAGAGAAGGCAAAGGCGTGCAGGGTGGACTCATAGAGCTGCGGTGTGAGGGGAAGGACAGAGCTCGCCATCAGAGTCCGGCTGGCTTCCCGGAAGATCCCAGGCCCATCCTGCCGTGACACCATGCGGCTCACAGCCGCATCTGCCCCGCAGCACAAAAAACCCACATGGTGGCTTCAGGGCATAGTGCAGGCCCCCAGGTCTGGCGCTGGGGCCGGTATACCCAAGGCCACACACAGCAAGAGACAGGGCCAATATACCTGAGGCCACACGCGGCCAGCGCCTGCTCCATCCCCAATCCTGAGGGTGTGGCACCCAGCCATGCCAGGCAGTGGCCAAGCCCTCTGGACTCCGGATCTGACCCAGCCCCGATGTGGGTTACCAACCACAACATTCATACTTTAATTCTAACGAATGTATTTTTCTGTCACACTTACACATGCAGCAGCATATCAGTCAGATGATACCCACATAGGCTTGCGCACTTCCCTAACACACGTGCCAGCCACTGCTCTGTCCCCTTCATGTGGTGTTAACAACCCTGGAAGTGCTACTGTCGTCAGGCCATTTACAGGGGTGGAAACCGACATTCAGAGCTCTTGGGCTCATTCCTGAGGTACCTCTCCAGCCTCCACTTACCAGCCACTCTACCCTCTGGATCTGTACACACTCTGCCCTCGGCTGCGGGCTCCAGCCCAGCTTGGCCCC